TCCCTCTTTGCCTTTATCGTTTGTATCTGGTGGTTTCTCATCAGACTTTTCCAAAACTGTTGGATCAGTAACACTATTCAGTCTAGTTTAGCTGTAACGAAAGCACCGTACAATTACCTGCACTAACAACATTGCAATATGGCCTATCAACATTTAGCAGGTAATTCCATGAAGATACAGATGAGCACATGTAAGGGGAAAAAAACAAAGAAAAATCAATAATTAAAAAAAAAAAAATCAACAAGTAGCTAATCCCTAGGATTAATCTGAGAGTATAAAGTGGCAGATAAAAGAAGGAAATGCATGTAATTGCCCCACCTACTTAGAAATCTGATTTATTTAGCAGGGATGCATCAGGGGAAATTTCTAACTGACAGTGTGCGTTACAGCCAGAACTCCACTTCCTTTTGCATTACTGAAGCAGTGAAATCACGTTCCGGCATAACGAGCTATGGTACAGGTAATACTGTCTCAGACTTGTGAGAGCCCAGTTCTTAACGACGTCAGTCCTTGCCTGACATCTCTATTCAAAACCGGTCAGAATCAGCACAAAGAACCGTGACCTAAAAGCCACGGCACGCTTGCGGCATACGTGACGCAGTATCAGGATGCGGATGCATCTTGCACATAGGCCAATTCATCAAATGCTTTGAGTACTCTGGTTCTAAAGCCTCTTCTTACAGCCATGTGTGAACAGAAGTGAAGTAAAAGAACAGAATGGATGAGAATTCTTTCTTTTACAAAACACTGCAGAGAATCAAATTGAATGAAAATAGAAACTCTTTGCATGAGAGGACTGGACTATAACTCAGGGGACTGCTTCATTTGTTTCTGCACAGATCTTCCATGCAACCCTGGCTCTCACATTCTCTTTACTGCAGCTATTCAACGGCATAATACAAACACTGATCCCTTTACCAGCCGTGCTTCTTAACAGCAGAAACCCTTAAAAGCAGTCACTTACAACTCTTCCCTTAGTGCCCAAAGGGCACTGTGAAACAAACAAACCCAACCTCATATCATGGGTGCCAAAATGAAAATAAGCATCCTAAGTCTTTGCCAGCCCTGGAAGAAATAGGGAAATACCTGCAAGAATGCAAGGATAGCTGGTTCCTGGCAAGTCATTTAGAAGACTAACTCATATTTGATGCAATACTGTATTAATCATTCTTGCTACTCAGTAGCAGAAAAAATGGCACATTTACAGCACATATAGTATCTCTTACAAATTGCCATTGAATCTTAAGACTCTCAAATGAAATAAGTTACCAAGCAACATAAGTGACACCTTGATAAAGCATTGCTGAAGCACAAATGCAAAGCTGAAAAGTTTTTTCTTCTCTAATTACCTATTTAACAATTGTAAATACACTGTATATTGTGTCTACCTGTCACTTAAATGCTATCAAAATAAATCATTCTCATGGTAAGTAATCAAGGAGTTTGTGACTCAGATAAATACTACTTTTATGTACCTGCATACGAAAACAGACCTGTTCACAGCTACCTTCAGGACTGACTACATGTAGCAAACCCATAAAGAAAAGCCTCCTGAAAAGGCTCTTACAATGGACAAATCCATGAAATTCTTAAAAAAGCTAGATTAATTAACAAGTGCTGCTACACATGAGCCCCATACCACCAATGGGGTCCTTCTCTCTCCCTAAAGTCAACGAGGTAATTTTTAATTTTAAAGTGACTAGGCAATTTAGGAACCAAAGTAACAACTAAAGGAAGACTACTTAGGCTCTTGTCCTAGGTTCCTACTGGTGTATCAGTGCCCATTTCCCACCTATCTCAGTGGCACATAGTTACCTAAATATTTACCTAAAACTGGCCCCATATACTCCTGAAAGTATGTGTCCCCTTGAAATTTCCAGATAATGATCTCCTGACTTTAAGGAGCAAAATAACCCAGTGACAATGACCAACAAGTCACTCATAGATGTTGATTACAGGAAACACGCAAAACCTAAGTTGTGGTTGTATAATCTATCTCATAGTTGTTGAGCTGAGTCCAACATTGACTTCCCACTGAAGTCAATGCATTTTTATTGCCTGGCCTGTCAGAGAAGAAGTTTTGTCCTGAAAGAGATCATTGCAATTAAGGTCCCAGCACTAAAATACTACTTACATGTAAATGTAAATCTTTTAACTATGGGATGCTGTAAATTATGTTTCTGTTGAGTGTTTACATAATATCTGACAACTAATTGCTTCAGTAGTCAGATTTTCTTGTTAATTTTAAAATGACATGTAAGGCAAGCTAAACATTACCTTGATTTTCTTCCAGCTTCCCAATTGTTTCTATCTGCTCAACAAGGTCGTTGGAGTTCCACTGGCTCATGCCTATGAGGATGGCACTTTTTCCTTCCACCATCTCTTCTGCAGGAGGAAAAAGGAGAACAGAATAAATTGCAGCGATGAACAAGAGAAAAAAAGACAGGGTGAGAACTAGTAATTGAGAGAGAAATAAACGCTCACCATGGTCCCTAAGGGGAGTATGTAACACTTTAGCATGTGCAGGACTCTCCAGGAAAGCTTTTTGCTTACTGATCTGCCTTACAGCATACCTACATGCTTGTGCAGGAAAACCATGGAAAAGAGAGGACTGCCTGAATTCTTGCTGTTACCTTAAGCAGTCACTTAAAACTGAAGTTTATAATGCATCACTTTGAGTGTTTAATATCAAGTAACAGAATTAGTCAGAATTCTTCCCTCTCTCTTAAAAAAATCATGGTTTTTTTACTTGTTTTGCAAGCATTGCAGAATGAAGATCAAAGCCTCCTGAAATAATTATGCACATCTGTGGTTTTTTTCCTAACAGCTGACAAAAATATTTACAGCAGCCCTGTGAAGCAATTTAGTAGGCTGGAGGCCTAGGAACACTCTCTTTCTTATGGAACTGGATGGAGCAGAAATGCTTCAGCGTACACATGCTGAAAAAGACAAAAGCTTGCTACTGTCAGTACTGCTGTAAGCTGCTTGAAAAGCAGATCACCTTTTTGTTCCGAAAGCCTCCCACCTGATAAAGGAATACAACCACTGCACTTCCACAGACATAATTCAGTCACCACTAACCCTGCCTCCATAATCCAGTGACAACATGAACAAAAAACCCTGATTTTCTGTGGGTGATGTGTGTGAAAATGCTGTAATACTACTGCTGACCTAGTAACTCTATAATCAATATATATTATCTCATTACATCAGCGCTAGATATACTATAGAGTAACCAAAATAGTCCACAACCAGTCAGCAATCTATATGAGCTGCTCAGAACATGAACACAACACTTTCCAAGACGCAAGGGAAACCTCAGGCACCACACTGGGATATTATCAGGCAACATTCATTTCAGCCTGAAAACAGAGCTATAAATGTGCCTATAATTAAAAGCATTTTGAAGTTTACTATATATCACAATTTTAACCTGTAATCAAAAACAGTATTTTCCTACTCTAGAGTGGCCTGAAGTGAAAGTCTCTCTGTAAAAGTCAACATGAAACCATCAATGTTAGCCAGTAGAATTCAGTATCCTAAAATTCTGGCTTCAGAATATTCCGAAGGCAGAGCAGGGGCAAGAATGGACATAGACCAGTTTAAGGCTTTCCAAGCATGTTTTTTCCCCTTTTTATCGAAGTCACCTGTGCTACACAGAGCTTTAAGTTTTCATCCAGGGGCACAGAGACATAATGGGATGGCACCTAGCCCATGGCACAGAAAACCAGCTCTTTTATCAGGATCCCATCCAGGGCAGGGGGCAGGAAAAGCTGAAAGCACAAAACACAAGCCATAGATATTCTCTCTCTCTCTCTCTCTCTCAGAAAAACCCAAGCAGCAAACAGGCCTAGAAGCTGTGGGAAAACAGTTTCCTTCACTTTAACAGCGGTTTGGCAAGAAGGGTACATTAGTCCTTCCTGAATAAATTTACTAAAAGCATTTCAGCCTGGCTGTGTGCAGCCCAGAACGGGATTTCTGCCTAGGGTGAGTACACAGGAAAAAAAATAAAAGTAAAATGAATAATCACGGTTCTTTACTTGTTAAGGCAGATTCAGAGAAGGGGTCAAATTCTGCCCTGTCTTACTGCCTTTTTTGGAGAGAAGGGCTCTATTATGGGAGCAAACACAGAAGAATTTGGCCAGAGCATTCGTGGCCAAAGCGATCCACATTATCAAACAAAAAACGAAAACATGAGTTTGTTGGCAACCAGGCCGTGCAGTAGGCCTTTAAGTGATTTAAAAATTTATATTCTCTCATGTACTTCTCTCATTTACAGAGATCTTGGTACTGGGGAGGAGGAAAGCAGATCTGTATAAAGGCTTTTAAATCACTTCATGGTCATCATCGTATCTGACCTTCCCCGAAGTCCTACCTTTTAGGAAAAAAAAAAAACACTAATAAAGGTCATTTGTCAGGTTTATCAAAGAATGTATTTGGGAGGGAATGGTGTAGCCTGAAAACACCAATTCTTTTTTATCAATCCCAGTTCACACTTGGTCCTAGGACTGTTCAAGAGCAACAAAACAGTTTCTTCCAGTTCAGAAGGAGCAGATACAGCCTGGATGAAGACCTGTCAGGGACTACACTGCCCTCCCACCCCAGGGAAACCTGAGGCAGGACTCTTACAGCACTGTGTCCTTCCTGATTGCTGGGAAACACCAATTCGGTGGCTGCTAAACCAGACTTCAATGACCAAGACTATCAACAGGAAAAGACCAGAGAAAAACCCGTGATACATAACACACTCAGCACGCTTTGCCAGCACGTGCAGGAGAGAAACACTTGCCCACAGCCTCGGTGGTCTCTGTCTTCTGCCTCTGCTCCCAACCTCCACAGCAGCTATGACAAGGGCGATGCTCGAAGGGCAAGCAGAGACTTCACTGCATTTCCTCTTCCTTTTTTGTTAAACCAGTTTTCATATTGGCATGAAAAATTTCAAAGCAGAAATACTTCTACCTCCAGCACATTCACCAGAGGCATAAACCATTAAGGTGCCTTTGGTTAAAGAAATGAGTCTCAGGCAATCTGTTCAGTCAAACCAACGCTACAGAAGAGGGCATCACAGCAAATATTAAACGGGTTACAGAGAAGTTTTGGGGACAAGACAGAGCTAAAAGTCACTCAGCAAGAGAAATTAAACAAAAAAAATGCATGCACAAGAAAAGAATTCTGCAAGAAGAATAAAAATCAAAACCTTGGGGTTTACTCAAGCTACAGTGATTAATATGTACTGTAAGCGAGATGGATTTTAACTGCATCAAGTTAGAAAGCCAGCTAACGTGGATCACTGCTGCTGCTCTGGAGGCAAAGAACATTTCTGTAGGTGAAAACCAGTAGGACAGCTTGAGTACATCCACAACTGCCAACAGGTTGCTATACTTGGAGAAGAACATGTACCTGCAATTTTTTGTTCAAGTATAATTTGTCTTCAAGCAGAGAAAGGCAGATATTTTTTTTCACACTCAGGATATAAATACATAGTACCACCTATGCCTAACTCGCCAATACATTTTTTTTTGCCTCTTGTGATTACCGATGATTTTTATCTTCCATTTAAATGTTTCGAGGAGATGATGGGAAAAAACCCACAAACTTTCAAAGTTAAATAGAATGAATGTTAATATGACTAACACTGTTTACACAGACGAGATTCTTCTCTGCTTACTGTAAACAAAGATGAGTGTTGAAGAGCTCAATACAGCATAGATGGTTTGGGTAAAAGATGCTTTCAGGCAGCAGGAACAAATACAAGTACTGCTGAAAGGCCTTCACATCTACCCCAGGTAGTCTTCATGTCACACAGTTCTCTCTGAAATCAAGAGTAGCCCTCTAATTTGAGTACAGGCTGGACCCTTGCCCCTGGACCATTCCACTTGAAAACTCTCCTAACAGGCCAAGGGCTTCTGAGCATACAAATTCAGGCCTGATTTTTTGTTCCCATTTAACCCTTTAGCATGCCACAGCGTTTCTTGTCTGAGAAGAATGCAACTACACGTGCCTAAGCAAAAGATTTCCCCTCCCCTCCTCCTGTGTTTGCTTATCCCCACCCTCCACTGCTGAGGCAACGGCAGCAGGATAGGCTCCGAGTCTGAAGGACTCAGAGGGTGCTGGCAGATCTAAAGGCAGCTGACTTACTCAAAAGACCTGGACCGTCCCTGTGGCTGTCACAGAACATCAGGTCCTGCCTGATCCTGGGAAAGTCACTCAGTTCTTCCTTGCCAGCCAACACAGTATGACCCTGCATCTTTCCTTCCACCCCTTGCCTGGGGTGAAAAGCTTCTTACCTTGTTCACACGTGGGTAAAGTTCACATTGGTAGCACAGAGAAAATATGTTTAGTGACCATCATTTATGCGAGGAAAATCTGCTAGCACCAAGGCAAAAAAATCTAATAAGCCTGCATAAGCTGCACCCTGCTATGAACTGAGAACTCTTTGCCTAACTTACTGCATGCAACATGGAAAGCAAGAAACAAAGGCAAGTTGGGCAAAACAAAACAGTAAAATATTACTTCTCCCTTTCTCTATGGATTTCACTAAATTAAGTAGATAACCCAGGCAGATGAATCAACAGTCAAAACATGTACAGCTGCTCCATCGCAAACACAGGTGCTCGATTCCCTGTTTACAAGGCTGTCAGCCAGAAATTTCTTTGTTTGAGAACTGGGGTTTGACCCCGGCTGTTTTTCGGAATGCAAAAGCAGCTCACTGATGTTATGTTTTAATTGTGCCCACTGCCTCCTACTTCAGGCAGTCTCTGAAGTGCAAATTACACATGGGTAGATGGAGAGACTGGGATAGCTTCCAAATCCTCCCATAAAGGAACATCGTACTTAACTCCAGCTGCACCATGCAGAACGTCCTTTCAGCTGCAAGAGTGTCAAGCACTGATGAAGCACTTTGTGTAAATAACAGAGAATGGGTGAGAAAGACAGGTAAGAGACGTTACAGGATGTGTAATGCTGGAGACAGAATAAAGATATCAAGCCACTTCATTTCCAGATGAAAGCCACGGTGCCTCTCCTGGACAGGTTCTCTTCAATCCAGCGCAAACTCCTGCAGTTCCTCTGGTGCTACGTTTAACCCAAGGATGATGCCAATTACTTTAGCCCACACATATGCTTTCCTCCACCAAAGATACAAGCTCCGTCATCACCCAGAGAGCTTCTGAGCATAGAAACACCTTCCGTCTCTTTCGCTAGTATCTATGCTTTTGTGCACATTTGTTTTCCTGACATTTAAACACTTCATTATTCCTGAACGACTGTTTGGGAGAAAGCGGAGATGACACTAAATTAGGAGGAGCTGTGGACTCCCTCGAGGGTAGAGAGGCCTTACAGGGAGCCAACTGGACAGACTAGAAAGCTGGGCAATCACCAACCAT